CCATGTACCTCCTGTGCAGCCGGGAGCTTGGCCCACCACCTCCCCCTGTGAGCGAAGTGGAGTTTGAGGAGATCATGAACAGGAACCGGGCAATCTCCAGCAGCGCCATTTCCAAGGCAGTGTCTGGTGCCAGCGCAGGTAACAGTGACCGTGGCCCCACACTGCCATGTTCCCCCCACTCGGTGACACGTCCACATTCCTCAGCCCTTCTCTATTTTTCCCCCAGGTGATTACAGTGACGCTATCGAGACCCTCCTCACGGCCATCGCCGTCATCAAGCAGTCCCGCGTCGCCAATGACGAGCGGTGCCGCGTCCTCCTCTCGTCCCTCAAAGACTGTCTGCACGGCATCGAAGCTAAGTCCTACAGTACAGGCGCCAGCAGCAGCTCCTCCAGGTACCGACAGCTCTGGGCTTGGAGCCACGTGGGGATGGCCTCGTTGCACCCCATCTTGAGGCTTTGCTCGCCATCTCTGTCCCCATCGCAGTGAGATCCTCCACCTTAGAGGTGACCGAAAGATTTTTCTTCTTTTCCTCAGGAAAAGACACCGATCTCGGGAGCGCTCTCCCAGCCGGTCCCGTGAGAGCAGCCGGCGACACCGGGACCTCCTCCACAGTGAGGATCGGCACGAGGACTATTTCCAGGAGCGGAACCGGGAGCATGAGCGACATCGGGACAGGGACAGAGAGAGGGACAGGCACCACTGAGACAGGTGAGCTGGTGCCAAGGCACTGCCGTGTGTGCCACGGTCTTGAGGAGCGAGGGCTGAGGTGGCAGGAAGGGTGCTCGGCACTGCTGACTGCTCCTCTCATCTCTCCCCACAGGAGTTTGGCAGTAAGTGGTTTTTAATGGACTCGTATCTCCTCACCTCAACCAGGACTACGTGACCCAGGCCGCTCACCCCCCTCACCCCTTCCCTGCCAACCCCAGCTCTCTCCGAGTGCCCGAGGAAAGTCTTGCCGTGCCCCGGTGGGACTCCCACCGACACCTCGTGGCCTTGGGGCCTGAGCCCTTGCCTGCACTCACTGCTACTGCTGCTTCCCGGGGAGAGGCGAGGACCTGGGGAACGCCTGCGCCCGGGCTGCCCTGCTCCACTCCGTGGACACTCGGACCCAAAGAGAAATGGTGCTTTTTTTCCATGGAGGGAGGTTTGTGAGCCCTTTCCTCTCCGGGGTGGCCAGAGGGGATGGACCTCTCCCTGTTCGTGTGCAGCAGCGCAGCAGGGGCTCAAAGGCACATGGCTCCCAACCCCGTGCCCAGGTTGACTGGAAGCGGTATGGGGTTTTCTGCCAAGTACCATCCTCTCGCCTCATCTGGGGACGCTCCTGTCCTCATTGCCCTGGCAGTCCCAGTGCAGGCCCTCCCTGTCCTGAGGGATGCTGTGCCACGCTCCTTTCCCCCTCGCCCTCTCCGCTCTGCCTGGGAGGAGCATGCTGGGAAAGGGGGGCTGGAGCTGGGCCAGAGGTCACCCCTCTCCCTTTGCCCCAACGTTCTCCACCGGCCGGCTGCAGTGGCATCGCCACCTACGCGCTCGTCTCCCAAACAACAGCTCTGGCTGCCGAGTGCTGGCAGGGCCTTGTGCCGAGGTGGCCTCTCCAGCAGCACCTTCCTTGTTTTAGAGGAAGCGGAGGAGGCAGAGCGCACCTTGGCAGGCTGTGACCCCGCGCTGCCCCATCTGGCTGCCCTTGGGACTGTCTGTCCCCCGCGGGTGCTGGGGGGTCTCTCCCTTTCCCAGCTGCATCCCCTGGCTGCCCTTTCCGAACAGGCGGCGCAGCGGTT